CCGATTTCAATTTTTTTATGTAAATGCTCATAACAATGGCTGGGTTGCATCAATTGAGAAAAAGCTTGCGTCTTTTTTTATGCTGAAGTGAAATTGAAGAAAGAGGAAGGGGAGGAGAGAGAAAGAGCGTGGACAAAAGGGGTAGGTAAAATAAGAGTAAGCAGAATTATCTATCCCATCTGCAAATCATATAAAGACTAAAAGTAGAAAAAAGATGAAAATAGTTTACATCAAAAAGAAAAAAATGGACTGAAGACACAAAACAAAAACACAAAAAAAAAATATATAAAAAAGAAATTAGTGTTGTAAGTTTCTAATATTTTTAATTATTTTTGTTCTATTTTTGTTCTCTATTTTTATTTTTTCACTTTTAATCCTTTTTATCACTGTTAAAAGAAATAGAAGAAAAAATAAGACAAAAAAGAAGTAAAAGACAAAGAAATCCGTGTTATAAGTTTAAAACTTATTTGTTTTCATTTTCTTCTTCTTTTTTTCTTTTGTCCCATGTCTATTTTTTCTTCTTGATTTAGACATATTTAGTCTTTTTCTTCTTCTATTTTCATATTTTCACTTTTAGTCTTCTTTACCACTTTTAAAAGAAAAATAAGAAAAATAAAACAAAATTAGTGTTATAAGTTTCCAACATATTTGGTCTTATTTTTTTTTTCTATATCTTTGTTGCCATCATTATATTTTCTTCTTTTTAATCTAGACATATGTGATTTTATTTTACTTCTATTATTTCTGTTGTTGTCTTTAGTCTTTTTTCTTTTCTTTTTGATTTAAACTATTTTCATTTTTTTCATTTTTGATCTTTTCTGTTACTGTTATAAGTTTTATACTTATTTGATCTTATTTTTTCTTCTCTTTTTTTGGCTTTAATTTATTTTCTTCTTTTCGATTTAGACATTTTGGACTTTTTTCTTCAATTTTTTTTTTAATTTTAGTTTTCCCCATAAATGTTAAATTTCTAACATATTTGGTCCTATATTTTATTTTATTTTTTGTTTTACTTTTTTCTAAAAAAGGTAAAATAGGTAGATAGTTAAGTTTTTAACGGTATTAGTATTAAGAATAATGAGTTTAGATGATAAAACTATAAGGGATAGATGATTAAAAAAAAGTATAAGAGGATAAGTGATTCAAAACATTGAGTAATACCTGTTTTGAATTGAATTTTATTTATTTTATTGTCTCCTACTCGGTTCGAATTGAATTAATTGAGTAATACGGGTTATGTGAGTCCCCGTTCACTATTTTTTCTGTTTAATTAGGGATTTACATTTGTCATTTAATATAACACAACAAATTTTTCTACACACGCAATATTTTGTAGGGCTCACACTTTTTGAAGAAAAAAAAAAGAAATTACGGCACGCAAAACGAATCTCTATAACATTACACAATCACTTTTTCTATAACATAACTCTTATAACACCCGGTTCAATTATTACAATTCAGGACCACAACATCGCCATGCCAAAATGCTGTTGGCTCGTCCTTGGCATAAAGCACCTTCCAATTCCATTGACGTGATTTAAGGTATGGGAGAAAAGGGAATACAAGCTGTATTTTGGGTAAGCATGCTTGTCCTCAACAATAACATTATACATTGAATGTAATATTCGTACACAATTAAAAAATTAATAATATTATTAAATTTTATACCTGCTAGGCATCTAGTTACCTATAATTATAACTTAATAATTAAACCATATCTACGGAAGCTTAATTTAATATCAAGGTAACTAATTAATCTAAGCTTCTAAATGCATGCCTGGTTCTATTTAGTTTTCAGGAAATCTTTTTAAAAGGTTTTTTAATAGTATTTTAATTATAAACGATTTTAAATACAAAATATGTTAATATAAACACAAATAAGAGTGAGCTAGCAGTAAAAATAATAATTAGATAATGTACTTGAGACAGTAATTTAGGTTTTAGTATCACCATTGCACAACAAGAACATAAATTTTTTTTGGAATGGATCCCCTCATATATTATTTAGCATGATTATATTATGTGAAAAGATCTTAAACATACAAGAGTGAATTAGGGATGATAAGGGAAGAAAGAAAGAAAAAATATTAAAATAAGAAATTACACATTAATTTGTTTATTGATAATTAAGATCTTCTCACATGACAATGTTATGTTAAATAACACAAGAAGATATGTTTCCAAGAAAATTAAGAAATTAATTAGTCATACTCTTTCTATCATTAGTATTTGGGGATTAATTTTCTTATGTTACCGCTGATAAGATAGTTTCATGCAGACACATATATATGTGAGCCCCACCATTTATGTTTTAAAAAGAGAGAGTAAATATTTTTTTTGGTCCTCAGTAAATTTTACGATGTCCGCTTTAGTTCCTAGCAAATAAAAAAGTTATTCGTGATCCTTAAGAAATTCAAAATGGACTCATTTAGTTGAAATCATTGTCCCTCACAAATTCAAAAAAGACCCAAGGGTCCACTTTGAATTTCTTAGAGACGACGAATAGTCTTTTTATTTGTTAGAGACTAAAGCGGGTATCGTAAAATTGACTGAGGACCGAAAATAATATTTACTAAAAAAACTCAAACATCAATCTTTATGCCAGAAATACTGTTCACCATTCTCCTTGTAGAAGGGAAGTTTTTTTGGTGATCGAAGTCTCATGTGTCCTTACATTCAAGAGGTAACACTTGAACAAAATGTTATTTTTTATTTCTCCTTTCTTCTCATTAATGATATGATTTTAATTGGTCTTTTTATCCCATATAAGAAAATCAGTTCTGTTAGTATTTATCATTTAAACTCATAATTAAATTTGTTAACTCCATTACCATTCTAGAATAATCAGTTAGGAAATACTTTAATTAATTTTCAAAAGTGGAAGATGCCAGCTTCGTAATTAATCTGAAAATTCGGCCCATTTCAGTAATCTTCCTGTTTGATCCAACTGTCAGACTTTTCCCTCGTTATTTCACAAACACCCTTATCCAAATTTTTATTAAAAATATATAATATTTTATTTCAAATTTCATAACTTTATCGGCAAAAAATTGATATATTGTTTTTTAAATAAAAAATTATGAATTTATGACAGTTTTAAAAATAATTACATATTTATTACACAATATCACGTCTAATTTGGACGTCACCGTCTAAATTGGGCGTCACTCAAGAGTCAATCACGCCTAATTTAGGCATTACTTATCATGTGTTGACACGTGTAATATTTTTTTCAAAAAAAAAATAACAATTTAATCGTAAAACTTCCGAAGGCTTTAACTTTTGACTCGAGTATCCAAATCAGGTAATTCTTTCATTGATTCCACATAACTTTTCGAGATCTATGCAATGACATCTTATTTGACATATTTTATCTCTCACAAACACAATTTAAATTTGCAAAAATAGTATTATAAGAGCTGTTAAACCAAGAAGCCTCTGAGTTCTGGGTTTGTGATTTAATATAAACAAATAAATAAAGATTTGATTTGTGATTTAAACAAATAAATATAAACAAATAAATAATATTTTTCAAAAATAAAATCCTTCCTCCTTAGAGATTTAGAATATTTATTTAATTATTTCCTTTATTAATACAAATTTTTCAAATTAATTTTTGAGTTTAAATCACAAATCAAATCTTTATTTTGTTTTCCTTTTTCATAATAATTTTTATTTTTAATTTAAATCACAAATAAAATCTTTATTTGTTTGTTTATATTAAATCACAAACCCAGAACTCAGAGGCTTCTGGTTTTAACCGCTCTTAAAATATCATTCTTGTAAATTTAAATTATGTTTGTGAGAGATAAAATATGTCAAATGAGATGTCATTGCATAGATATCGAAAAGTTATGTGGAATCAAAAAAAGAATTATCTGATTTAGATACCCGAGTCAAAAGTTAAAGCCTTCGGAAGTTTTACGATTAAATTGTTAATTTTTTTTTTAGAAAAAAATATGACACGTGTCAACACCTGATGCGTGACGCCTAAATTAAACGTAATCGCCTCTTGAGTGACGTCCAATTTAGACGTGATTGGTGACGTCTAAATTGGACGTGATATTGTGCAATAAATATGTAATTATTTTCAAAACAACCATAAATTCATAATTTTTTATTTAAAAAACAATAAATTAATTTTTTTGCCTAACTTTATCTTATGTTATGTTTATTATATTCTCGGATAAAAGTAATTTTTTTTGGAAAGCATTAAAATAATATTCTTTGTCCTGTGAGATTCTGAAGGAACGGATTACGAATATTGGAAGTGTTGTTTGTTGCTTGGGCCAACTCACCTGAAAAATTTGAATTTCTGAACAAAAAAGCAAAAAAAAAAAAAAAAAAAGTCATCATCATCACCAACAAGGACATCAAAGACTTTCTTCCAAAGTTTAAAGTTCCTGTTTTAAGGAACGCACAAACACACATACAAAAAACACATAGGAGCGTTTGGTTTTGCAAAGAACAGAGCAGAAAAAACAGAACAATCCACTACAACAGCAATTTTCCCAAATTGTTGGTGTTTGGTTTTTATTATCTTTCTCTCTCTCCCTTATTTTTTGTTTCTCTCTCTTTGAGTCTGAGGAGGTTTGTTGTGCCCAACAACCTCAACCTCCTCGCTTGCTCTTCATTCCAACCTCGTAACTTTCGCTTTCAGTAATGGAAAACCGCGACCTTCCTAGATTTGGCAAATGCGTTTCTGGAGTTCGTTTTTGGAGATTGTGTTGATTGGCGCAACCACCAAACCAAAACGTTCTTTTCTTCTCACCCTTCAAGCTTATCCCTTTCAAACCCGAAGGAAAAAGAAAGGTGGCACTTTTCACGTAAATTCCCAACTGGGTTCTTCGATTTCATTGCTTTCTGGAATGCACTATCGGAATCAGGAAAAGGGGTGGTGAAATTTCAAGTTGGGTATGAGAATTTGAGGGAAAAGTTGTGAAATTTCTGTGATTTTTTATTTTTTTTTCATTTTTTTTCGGTGGAACCAAGTTACCAAGATGATGTTATCAGCTTCGCCAAATTCCTTAGCGAGGAGTTCGCTGGAAGAGATGCTTGATTCTCTTCGCCGGAAAGATGAGGAGGAGAAGCCGAAGGACTTGCCTCCGGCATTGCCGTCTCGGCCGACGTCGAGAGCTCGGCTTCCGTCAGCAAGAAGGTCATTGCCTAATAGCTTCAAGATTGTTGATGGTGATCCTTTCCTGAATGGAGAAGAGACCAAGAGGAAAGACAAGGAAATGGGGCACAAGAGGAAAGGTAGTTTTGGGGGCAAGAAGATTAAGTTGGATGTTGAATCTCCTTACATAGTCAAATCAGAAGAGAAAATGAGTGAACAATTATCATCACAAAGTCCAGTTTCAACATCTAATGATGATACTACTGCTTCTGTTGCTCCTCCATCAGGGGAATTGGAGGATGACAACATTGGTTATTTCATCAAAAAGGTAACTGGGAAGTTGAAGATGTTTATGATAATTGTTAATAACTGGCTGATTTATGGATAGTAACTCGATTAATTAACTAAGTTTTAACAGTGGTTCTTTTCTAGTGTTTGAATCTCTCAGTTAGTTTTCATTTTATCTGCTTCTTTTTTGTCTTATACGTTTTTCAGTTCTAGAATGATAAGTTTTTGGTGTTTGGATGGCTTGAATAAAATATGGTCGTTGGTGTTAAAAAAAGAAGATGTAATTGCGACACTGCAGCTTAACCATTTCAGAATTGCAAATAAAGTAACCTCTACCCATGTTAATTGGATTAAAAAGCTGCTTGGTTATTTTTAAATTTTAAAGATATCAAAATTCCTTGTTATTTCTTGGCTGATACTTCAATTCAGAGCTTTTATTCTTTTGATGTTTAATAACGGCACCACTGTTGTTCTTCAGGAGGTTAATATTCTGCATAGATAAATTGTTTGTGGCATGAGTACTTCCACTCCATTTTTTTCTTTAAAGAATGTATGTTGGCGGCTTTTATCTATTAAGAATTATATATGTTGAGACATTGTTAACGGGGTGTGCGTTTCTGTTAAATTTTCTTTCTGTTTTTGGTTGTTTCCACAGAAACTTCATGTTTGGTGTAGGCAACCAAGAGGGAAGTGGGGACTGGGAAAGATACAGTCAACTTCAGGAGAGGAAGCATCTGTTTCACTTTCAAATGGAAATGTAAATATTTAAGCTTTTTTGTGTCTCTGAAAGATAGTTTTCATTCTTGAGGATGCATGATAACAGGTCATTTGTGCCTCTGAGTTGTTACTACAGGTTATGAAAGTGGCCAGATCAGAGCTCCTACCAGCTAATCCTGATATTTTGGAGGGTGTGGATGATCTTATACAGCTCAGTTATTTAAATGAGCCCTCAGTTCTTCACAATCTTCATTTTAGATATTCTCAGGATACGATTTATGTATGTCTGCTGTTCTGGCTTGTTTTTCCTACTTGGATGATTATGTATGCACTCTCATATGCTACTTGTGCTTTTTGTATGCAGAGTAAAGCAGGGCCAGTTTTAATTGCACTCAATCCTTTCAAAGATGTCCAGATTTATGGAAATGATTACCTCTCAGCTTATAAGCAGAAATCTATTGACAGTCCTCATGTTTATGCTATGGCAGATGCAGCTTATAATGAGATGATAAGAGGTGAAATAAATTCTTTCATTCTTTCTCCTCCTTTGAAATCTTTATGATGTAGTTATATGATATAGATATGAAGGTTTTCTGATCATGTGTTCAACATTGCAGATGAAGTAAATCAGTCTATTATCATAAGGTCAGCACTCAGTACATCACGGGCTCCATTTTGTGCATTGCTCTTAATATATGTTCCTGAACTCATAGTATTGTATTTTTATTTTAGTAAGAAGATAAATTACTAGTATACTTGTTAATAATCACTGTCAGAAATTTGTTTACAGTGGCGAGAGTGGATCTGGGAAGACAGAAACAGCAAAAATTGCTATGCAATACTTAGCTGCTCTTGGTGGGGGTAGTTGTGGGATAGAAAACGAAGTTCTTCAGACAAATTTTATACTAGAAGCTTTTGGGAATGCAAAAACATCTAGGAATGACAACTCTAGCAGATTTGTGAGTTTGTGTTTACTTTTTTATTTTTTACGAAAGTTTGTGTTTATTTTCGATACAGTTGAACTTACTCCTGCTGCTGTTGTTCTATAAGATATCTATAGCTTGATAGGTTTTCTATCAACTATGTCCATAAACCTTCGCAATTTTAATCTGAAGGCTGTGCAGCACTTTGTGGTTGGTATCTAATACTGAGAGCAGTTTCATTGATATACATTTATAATTTGGTGCAGGGGAAGTTGATTGAAATTCATTTCAGCACAATAGGGAAAATTTGTGGGGCTAAAATTCAAACCTGTAAGCATGTTCAAGTCAAATATGTTACATAAAGTTTGCTCTTTTGTGATATCCATTTTTTACAATTAACTGACTTGACTTATTCTTATGGTTTTGTGTTTCTCTCTGCCAATTCCCATCTCCTAACTTGAACAGTTCTGTTAGAAAAGGTAACTTGTAATACCCTATTCAAACATAATTGTGGAACTGAAATATTTTTCTTTCTTTACTTATGAAACATTCATGTCTCCTGTGGGCAGTCAAGAGTTGTTCAACTGGCCAGTGGCGAGAGATCTTATCATATATTTTATCAACTTTGTGCTGGAGCTTCACCTGATCTTAAAGGTATATATCTACGGAATCTATATATTAGTTTGAGATAATGCACTTGAATATGACTGTTGAATTTGATCCTCCCAGTATTATCATTCCTCTGCCCTTTAATTTTATTTACAATTTTTAAACAGATGCTTAATTTTATGTGGAAATTCTTTGACTCCAATTTCTGAATGTGAATTTTTAAGTTACCTTCGCATTATTACGACTTCATCAGCTTAATTGGGCTTGTAAATATTTTTACTCAAACAGAATCATTTTATTTTCCTTTGCAGAGAGACTGAATCTTAGAGTGGCCAGTGAATATAAATATCTTAATCAGAGTGACTGCATGACAATTGATGGTGTTGAAGATGCTAAAAAGTTTCATAGGCTGATGGTATATTTTTTGACGGTTCATTTGTTCAACAATACCGTCTCTAAGTTTGTTATTGGCTTACTAAGATCTCGTGTCATTTTTTCTCCTTTTGGCAAATGTGTTTTTCCCCAGAAAGCATTAGATGTTGTTCAAATGAGCAAAGAGGATCAAGAGCTGGTCTTTAAGATGCTTGCTGCAATATTATGGCTCGGAAATATATCATTCCAAGTCACTGACAATGAAAATCACATTGAAGTGATGAACGATGAAGGTAAGATTCATAGCTTATGCACAATGCCTTTTGATGGGCTACTCATGCCTTATCATGTTTTGATGTGATAATTAAGTGGCATTTAATACTTAAAGCTAGCTGGGACTCACTTGGATTGTTTTCAATGCCATATCCTATATCGAAAACAAATACAGTTTGTCTTGAATTGTGTAGGACAGGGCTATGCGGGGGTTCGTATTGACTGTGACTAACATAGTAATATATGAAATTTCAGTTACACCTTAAAAGTGACTTTTATTTATATTTTCTTTTGGCAGCTGTAACCAGAGCTGTTTTGCTGATGGGTTGCAGTTCCCAGGAGTTAATGGCAGCATTATCTACCCATAAAATCCAAGCTGGCAAGGATACTATTGCCAAAACGTTGACATTGCAGCAGGTCTGTTTATTACTTAAACAATTTAATTCATATATTTTTTACGGCTCCTGAATGTATTATATCCAATTTTTTATTCTATGTTCAGGCAATTGATACAAGAGATGCATTAGCAAAATTTATCTATGCAAGCTTGTTTGACTGGCTTGTAGAACAAGTTAATAAGTCACTTGAAGTAGGTAAACGACGTACAGGGAGATCCATAAGTATCGTTGATATTTATGGGTTTGAGTCATTCCAGGTACACAGTTTGTGTTAGTATGTTTACTGATGCTTCATAGACTCTTCATTCGTGTTCTAATAATTTCTTGTTTTTCTTTTCTAGAAAAACAGCTTTGAACAGTTGTGTATAAATTATGCCAATGAGAGGCTTCAACAACATTTCAATCGGCATCTGTTTAAACTTGAGCAGGAGGTCAGCATCTAAGTTAAACCGTAATTTGAACGCAATAGCATGAATGTGGAATACAATTCCAGGAATTTTGTTTCTCTGTATTTGAAAAGTTTTACTACTTCTGTTATCTTTTGGAAAAGAGAAGATATGGTCAAGACTTCCAAAATTTTTGGCCAATGTAGAACATGACTAATTAAAATTAACTTGTCAAAGTAAAAATTTCTCGGCACAAGCAACCTTTGAAGTGCACAATCATAATACAGTTTAATCCTGACTAACCTATCTGAATCAGTGTATTGTTTACTTCTGTAAATTGTCTTTAATGATGTCCTAATGCTTTGAATTGATTGTGAACCATATAGTGTCTTGTCAACTAAGGCCTCATTTGTGTGTGTGTGTGTGTGTGTGTGAGTGAGAGAGAGGGAGAGGTAAAAAGAATTTACTAACAGAAATGTGCATAGAAGGGTAGACAAGAAAACAAGAAGATAGCATTAATATCACATGCTAAAGTTGTGTTCTTGAATAGGCTTGATATGCATGACAGCAACTTGCAATTCACATATCTTGTTTCAGGAGTACGAATTAGATGGTGTTGATTGGACCAAAGTAGATTTTGAGGACAATCAAGAGTGTTTGGATCTCTTTGAGAAGGTATTTATATGGTTTAAGTTTTCTAAAATTTATGAGTTCTTCCTCTCTTGCTGAAACTGAGGGCAGTATGTCTTTTACAAAGCAGATTATTTTCAAAAAAATATATATGTTAAGGTCCCAATATTGGAGTTCACATTATTCTTTGTGACTAGTATACTCATTGTGTTCTCTGTTGTAAAATGTGTAGAAGCCTCTGGGGCTACTCTCTTTGTTGGATGAGGAATCACATTTCCCCCGGGCCACTGATCTAACATTTGCCAACAAAATTAGGCAGCACCTTTACGCTAGTCCTTGCTTTAAAGGGGACAGAGGCAAGGCTTTCAGTGTTCATCATTATGCAGGGGAGGTTAGTAGCTGCTAAATATTTAAGGAGCTTTAGAAGCTATTCACTTTGGTTGTTTTTAAAGTCAAATTGATCCTTAAATTTAGTTGCTACAAAATCTACATGGTTATAGTTTTTAAAGTTGAATTAATCCTTCAATTTACTTGTTTAAGCTTTGTGTTCATTTTTAAAATATTGCAGATAGAGTATTATAATATCATGCATAAACCTGCTTCGCACTGATATTGTAAGACAGTAGAAATAACTGTACTAATAAGTAGGGGCGTAAATGGGCTAGACTGATCTACAGGGGCCTACGACCTAGCCTATATTAGGTTAAGCTTACCCTATTAGAAATAGTAAAATAGAATAGATATAGGCTTTTAAAAAAACCTATTTAGAAAATAGGCCATAGGTTTTTTTTGTACATATCAGGCCTATAAGCCTACAAGCCGGCCTATATCATATTATTTTTTTTTAAATAAAATAAATAAAATTATTATTTTAATAAATTTGAATAATAAAGTAATATTATTTTAGTTATTCTTTTAATTGTTGAATGTTTAATAGGCTTAAACATGCTAACAGGTCTAGGCAAGGCTTTTATTTTTTAAATATAGGTCAGAGCAGACTTGTAATTTGGGGCCTACACAGGCTAACAGTTCAGGCTAGACCCAATGTTTTTTACACAGGCTTGGCCTATTTAAGTCAAAGCCTAGCCTAGCCTATTTACACCCTGATGGAACCAGAAAAATAACATTGAAATTATAGAGATAATGAAGGCCATGCCTCTTTTACATACACTAATATGCAGAAAATAAACCCCAAGAAACCTCAACTCCCCCTCAAACCAAATACCTAGGCTCAAGAGTTCCCTAGAGATCTCTCAATTTCCCCACTAAACCAGTATTGAATACATGCATACCTCACACTCCCACACTCCCCTCCTTATATCCTATCATAGGAATATTCTAGAATATTTCTCGTAACAAACTAACTAACTCAGGCCCATTCTAATTAACTCAGGTCCATCAATACTCCCTTTCCAAAATTCACCTTGTCTTCAAGGTGAAGAGAAAGGGCAGATAATTTGAGAGGATTTTCCACCTGGATCCCATTGTTTGAAACATATAGCCCAAGTAATGATTGTAATCAAAAATAGTCACCGTCGGATCCCGTTGTTTTCTCGCTTCCATACTGCACATGCTCCCAATGCTCTATAACTTGTCTGACCAAGAAGCAGGGGGTACTCCCACCCTGCTCAAACTTTCGTTTCTGCCCTATTTGCGGGCCTTTCATTTTTTCTGCAAAAAATAGCTTCTAGCCACAACCATTTTTTCTTAAGCTCAAAGACATCCGATTTTGTAGCCCCATGACGAGACCCTTTGAATCTGACGCAATTTGCCCCCTCTTCCCCATAATCATCACATGCCCAGGAATAAAAACAGCATGCTTGAAACATAGGTTTCGGCTTCTAATGTCATTAAGCACCTCTTGCGTCAATCGACAACATTGCAACCCACTGTGTCTGTTTTGGCTGCCATTTTCACAATTCTGATTTTTCCTTGCTTCACTGCTCTAAACTCTACGTGAAAACCCGCATCGTAGTGGAAACGAAAATTTGGCAACCGTCCATTGTTAAGCACCTCCGGCATGAGACGACTGAACCTTGCCGCTCTCACTTCTCTATTCGTGCTAGGGCTGCAAGTACCAATAGCTCCCCCTTGGTTTGTCATGCTGGTCTCAAAAGGTTTCCCAATTGAAGACCCATTACTTTCATTTCATCCTCTTGCACTTCTTCTTCTTTTTCTTTTTCCATAATTTCTTCTGCTTCTTTTTCTGAGTTTTGATATGCCTTAGCGTCTCCTTCTCCTTCGTCTTCTTTCCTTTCTTCTGTTTCTCTTTCGGAGTTTTGACCTTCTTCTACTTCGTCTTCTACGCACCCTGTCGTTACCTTTTTTTTTCTTCTTTTTTTTGTTCGTGGATTCCTTTTCCTGGCAGAATACCTCTTTCTTTTTTTGCTTCTTTTTCTCCCTTTTCGATTCTTGCTCTCTGTTCTTTGTCAAAACACGGATCTATGCGGTTTATTAACTTCCAAATGTTTTTCTGAAGTTGATGAAAAGCGTCTTCAACCCGATCCATTCCTTCTTCCATTCGGTCCATGCTTGCTTCCAATTGATCCAAGCTCCTCTCCATTCTGTTCACACTGTTTTCCATTTTTTTTATTTTTTTTCCAGATCTGGACCAGAAACACCCCTAGATCGGAAGTGCTCTGATACCAAATTGATGGAACCAGAAAAATAACATTGAAATTATAGAGATAATGAAGGCCATGCCTCTTTTACATACACTAATATGCAGAAAATAAATCCCAAGAAACCTCAACTCCTCCTCAAACCAAATACCTAGGCTCAAGAGTTCCCTAAGGTGGCGTTTGGTTGAGGAGAAATTTTTAGAATACTAGAGAAATAGAATTGATAGAGAAATGGTAAGAAAGTGAGATAAAGTGAGATAGATAGGAAAATGCAAAAAAAAGTAGTTTGGTTGGATAAAATTTTACCAGGAAAGTATATGAAAATTTTGAAATCCTATTGTTTGGTTTTAGAAAAAATATAGATAGATAAATGATATAAAATTACAATTTTATCCCCATACCCATGTGGAGGGCTAACAGTGAGAGCCTTATTATCCTCCTTTTTTAGAAGGTCTTCCTCACCCAAATCATGGAGAATCGAATTCAACACCTCAGCATTGATGTTCCCAGACGCAGTAGCATCAAATCCAGAATCAACTGAACCCAAACTTGGTGAGAATCCCTTCAGAATAGACCCCAAAAAAGGCAACGTTGCAAGAGCCATAGCCAAAAACACAGACCTTGAAACAATGCGAATAAACCGTGCATCAGGAATCTTGATAACAAAAACAGTATCAGAATTCAAACTAATCCTTCCATCATGCAAATGATGCTGTTCATCTTGCTCCTATACCCACGACCCAATTCCATTTCCTACCTTTGCAGCAAAAATGGAGAAGACCCAGATGCAGAAAACTGAAGATGATTGCGAGAACGAAGAAACAATAAGCCAGCGAATCGAAAAGGTTGGAACTTTAACGAGCGCAGAACCTTGCAGCGGTGTGGTTTCCACCCATAAGAGCCACACTGTTACTTTGCTTTCAACAATAAAGGAGCATTAACTGTCTCATCCTCTCTGCCTCCATTGTGCCTCAAAGGGTATATTGGTCAAAGAAATTAAGCAAACATTGACTTAGCCGTGCTTTTGCAAAAACCCACATGCGAAAATGGATTTCTAACAGTGCCGAAAGCCGTGTTTCTCATATCCACCTCAGAAATCTATGCATTTTAGTTGTCTGGTTTTTTGTCTGAAGGAGCTTCACCAAACTTGGGGTTCGTGGAAACCTTGTGTCAAATGCCTAGGAAAATTTCAAAAAGAAGCCAGCCAAACACCACCTAAAGATCTCTCAATTTCTCCACTAAACCAGTATTGAATACATGCATACCTCACACTCTCACACTCCCCTCCTTATATCCTATTATTTAGGAATATTCTAGAATATTTCTCATAACAAACTAACTAACTCAGGCCCATTCTAATTAACTCAGGTCCATCACACCCCTACTAATAAGTAATATCTATGTTATATTAAGTCATTGATTTCCTTCTGTTATGATCTGTAATATAATCATATACAGCATATATTTTGTAAAGGCCCAACTTCCCTTATATGATCATTTATCATTTAGTGGAAATTTTTTTTATGTTAAACATGCAATTTTGCCTCTAGGAAAATGTCTTAGCTGGAGTTTTTTTGTTAAGTGGCTATGAGAAATTTCTGCTGTCTAATTTTGTTTTTCTGAGCCTTAAGGTGTATATTGAAAGTGCACCATGGAGGCCAATTTTGTATTTTTGTTTCTGATTGTTCTAACATCTGGTCCTCAATCAGGTTTTGTATGATACAAACGGCTTTCTAGAAAAGAACAGAGATGCACTGCCATCTGATTCCATTCAACTACTGTCATCATGTAGTTGTGAACTACTGCAGTTGTTCTCCAAAATGATTAACCAGTCTCAGAAGCAATCAAATTCCCTCCACATAGGTACTCATGACTCACAAAAGCAGAGTGTTGGCACAAAGTTCAAGGTATTCTTGTAGTGTTACTTGAGCTGGTTCTACATCTTTAATATTTGAAAACAAATTATGACACTATTGAATGGTGGGTGATGATTGTGGATGATTAACTCTCCTAAAAATTATATGATTTAATAACAGTGGACGGGGATTTTAGGAGTATATTAAGAAATGAGCAAAATGCCATAATTTGAGGGAAATAAGTCTAACGAATCTCTTTCATTCTTTTAGGGTCAATTGTTCAAGTTGATGCATCAGTTGGAGAGCACCACACCTCACTTTATTCGCTGTATAAAGCCAAATACTAAGCAACTTCCTGGAATATTTGACGAAGATCTTGTCCTACAACAGCTTATGTGTTGTGGAGTTTTGGAGGTTGTAAGGATTTCAAGGGCTGGATATCCTACTCGAATGACGCATCAAGAGTTTGCTGGAAGGTAATGGAGAAACCTACTATAGATTTTAGATTATATTGAATAATGGGTTGATTTAAGCTCCTGCATACATTTAGGTATGGGTTTTTGCTTGATGAGGCCAACGCAACTCAGGATCCATTGAGCATCTCAGTCGCTGTTCTGCAACAATTTAATATACCACCTGAAATGTACCAAGTTGGCTACACCAAACTGTATCTTCGAACTGGGCAGGTATGTCCAAGTAATTTCATGTTTTCACTTCTCAAAACTACACTTTAGCATATATGTAGACTATTTATTGAGTTAAAAGGCAAAGAGCCATAGTGTTGGGAGCTGGGCATTGGATACGGTGGCAATGGGATCCATTAATCCATGATCCATCCACATCGAAATCCAATCCTTTCCTTTGAATTATATCAATATACTTAATGGATTGGATTAGTTTTAGTTAATGGATGCTTAATGAACCAACTAAATTATTTATTGGATTGGATGTCACAGGTTAAAGAGTGAAATACATTTGGACATAGGAGTAGATGCATTTAATTGAGAGAAATACAAAGGTAGAGAATGAAAGTATTTGGACAAAGGAGATTATCGACGCATCTATTCTAGGAATTGTTAGAATATGTCATAATATCATAATTATATCTTGGTATAGCTTTAGACTATATTAGATGATCTCTTAGGAGTTGTTCTGTTTTCATATTTCTTTACATTTTATGTTTTGTTTTCTTATTTAATTAAGATTAAGAATCTTCTATTAGTATAAATAGAGCTTAGTGCTTTGTATTTTTTATCACAAATAACACATCATATCAAGTGATTCAAGTCAATATTAGTTCTAGAATATTCGGTCTCTAACCCGTTAATTTCAACAGAAATCATAGTTAAGTTATGAGAGAGAGAGAGAGAGAGAGTCAGTTTTTTTTATTAAACAAAATATAATTTCAAATGGATGAGTTGGATATTCTTATATCCTATCCATTGAAAGGGATTAGTTTGTGGATTGGATATCTTTCCATTAAGATGATTATGGTTGGGTTGGATGGTTTTAGCAAGTTTTTAATGGATCATAAATCGATTAATGGTTTATTGTTTATCCATTCATTACGATCCAAAATTGACCACCCTGATCATGGTTGACTTGACATGACATGGCAGTTGATGTGTAGAAAGTTATCAACTATATGCTTTTACTAAATATGTTGTTTCTGAAATTGAAGTTGTTTGCTTGGCAGAGCATTGAATTATATTTTGTCTTTAAATATCATGTTTCAGCTGGATTATATATTAATTCATGTAGTGGTTTCTCTGATTTGATTTTCGTGTTCTCTGGTTGATTTTGTAGATTGGTGCATTGGAGGATAGGAGGAAACTGATTTTGAAGGGAATACTTGGGGTTCAAAAATCCTTTCGTGGTCATCAAGCTCGTAGTTATTACCATGAACTAAAGAATGGAGCGACAACTTTACAATCATGTAATGCCAGGCTTACTATTAGTTTTGTTTGGATCAAAAGTACTGAGCTGATTCTAGGCTTTATGCACATTTTTCCTTTTTCTATCTTTTTCCTTTTTTGCTGATTTTTCAAGTTGGATGTTTTTCATAAAAACATAATCCATAATAAACCAAAAAGATACCCTGGTGCTTTTTTGCTTCTATTTTTTAAAATCTATATCTGAGGACCTTATTGATATATATTTAGTTAAGAACTTCATGTACCTAAACTGATGACCTAAATAGTCAAATTCTTATTGCAAGTGATTTTTCTTGGTTATAGTTTTTGTCTATATCTTAATTGCTATTTTGGTTATATTGTAGTTGTTCGTGGAGAAATTGCGAGAAGGAAATATGGTATTATGATGAAGTCTTCTATAACTATTTCTACTGAAAAAATTGAGGTGTTACAGGCAGTCATAATTCTACAATCTGGTTAGTATTTCTGTTATTGTCGAGTTTACACTCAGGATGGTCATTGCATATGATTTTTGCTTATTGTTTGTTTCCTTTTCATGTAGTGATTCGTGGGTGGCTGGTTCGAAAGCGTGCTAGTGGCTTGAGTAAGTTAAAGAAATATCCTGAAAATGCAAAAACTAAGCGAAAGTCACGTGAGAAGATGTCAGAAGTGAAGGTACTTTACTATGCACGTTTTCAATTTAGAAAAATGCACTAAACTCCAGTCTTGCTTTCTCTGAGTTTTAATTTTGTTCACTCATTGGTTTTGTTCTTTTTCAGTTGTTTTATACATATAAATAATATTTCTTATTTCTTCCATCCTTCTAAAAAAGTTGTGGCAATTTGGAGTTTCTAATCTAATATCATGTATTTTTCAGTTCATTTTCAACCCATCATTTAATACCTTTACTGAGACAAGTGACTACGGAGGTGTTTGATATGCCAAAATCTTAGATTTCTAGGTATCTTTAAATCAAAGTACACGAGAATTTAAGGCCCCGTTTTTGGTGGCACATGAAAGTGGATAAAATTAGAGACACTCCAATTAAAAGGGGGAGACAGATTTAACTTTAGGGTTTATGGAACTTAAATGTGTTTATGGAACTTTTCATATTAAAGAAATTAAATCGGAGTTAAGGCTTATATTTGTTCATTAGGGTTGTAAAATTGTAAGTATATATCAGCACATATTTGCGTAAGATTTAATTGGTAGCAATCAAAGTTGTCCCTTAAACGAGATTAACATCTCACAAATTGTGTTTATGCCTACTTTTATAGTAGTCAACTGCAAGATATCAAAAAGCTTTCTTTTAACTTGATTTTTGTGGTTGTTATACTAACTGTTATGCCAACTTAAAGTACTTATTTGCTCGATGGTGTGGTCAAAAGCTTAATTTGTCTCCCCCTTTAGCTTTCTGTACTGCCTTCTGCAGAAACATTCAATGATGTCTTCCTTGTGTGCCTCTTGAATGAATATATCTTACGGATATAGAATGCTGAACTGCATAATTCTTGTGAAGTTGCCAACTACTCAAGATGGTAAATGTCTTGTATTTTTTTGGTTTAGCAGGATGTGTCCAAAGAGCGGGTCCAGAATCTGCCTTCAGCTTTAGCAGAACTCCAACGGCGGGTTGTCAAGGCTGAATCAACTATAGAGCAAAAGGAAGAGGAAAATGCTGAATTGAGGGAACAACTAAAACAATTTGAGAGAAGGTGGATTGAATATGAGACAAAGATGAAATCAATGGAGGATATGTGGCAAAAGCAGATGGCATCTTTGCAAGTGAGTTTTCAGCTCATACAAGTTCTCAATTTTTGTCATACACATGAATGTTACTGTAATGGATGAAGTTGATTGATCTGATCAAACCAAACTTTTAACTAGCTCATTATGCTGTTATAATGGACTAGTTTGTTATTGAGATGGATTTTGCTTTGCATTTATCATTGCTGATACTGAGAATAATATGTTAGTTGTATTGATTTTCGTTTTTACCATGAGATTGTTGCAACCTTGTTCACTAGATAAGTCCAATGCATAAGGGTTTTAAATCTAACAGAAGATTCTGATTGCAATTTCAATTCAGATGAGTCTTGCTGCTGCTAGAAAGAGCCTTGCTGAGAATGGCAATGGTCAACCAGTAAGAAATGATGTTATGTCACCTTTCGGCTATGATTCCGAAGATGCTACTTCCATGGGATCTCGAACACCTCGAACGCCGGGTGCGAGCACACCTTTGAAGTATTCTACTAGTCTTTCTGAGGCTGGAGCAGGGAGAGATGCTAATGGAACTTTGAGTACAGTTAACAATCTCATGAAGGAATTTGAGCAGCGCAGACAAACCTTTGATGGGGATGCCAGAGCTCTACTTGAGGTTAAAACAGGACAATCTGTGAACACGAATTCTGTTGAAGAACTTAGGAAACTCAAACATAGGTTTCAGGGGTGGAAGAAAGAATACAAGGTTAGATTACGTGAGACAAAAGCAAGACTTCAAAAACTCGGTAATTCTGAAGTGGAAAAAGGTCGGCGAAAATGGTGGGGAAAATTCAGTTCTAGAGCACTATAACATTCAGTTTTGGATTATTGTCTTTGCTAAAAGTGTATAAAAGGTGAAGATTATGCAAAAAATGGCAAAATGGGTTGATGTCATAAACTGTGTCTGTCTTTTCCAGGAGATGCTTCTTCTATATCCTACGGGAACACTTGATGAGTGTTACTGTTGTACTACTTGGTGAAGGGAAGGAAATTGTATATGTACCAATTTTGTTGCATGGTGGAAGTTGTGCATAGTTGTAGACTTATAGGGTTGCATAGTTGTATTGAGTAGTCTAGTTTGGTCATGTATATTCTGTTGTTGCTAATGTAATGTAAAACACAGCCTCCGGGTATAAATAGTTAGTGTTGATATCTTCAATGTAAGAAGAAAAAAAAATTCATCTCTCTTTTTGTGTTTTTGGTATGTCTTTGACTGCATGGTTAAATCAATATAAACTCAATTAATTGGTGCTCATTTTCACCGTTGTTGAATATTGGTCTTTTATAATTGATTTTTATAGAATTAAAAGGGGAATTAAATGATCTTTGTTTGTTTTATTTTTTGGTTAAAGCATGTGATCTATTGCTAAGAATTGATTCTTTTCTTTTTACTAAAACTCTGTAGTTTATGCCAAAGAGAAGAAGAGTATTGAAAGAGGCAAAGAACTTTGAAAGATTTTGTACTCTAATAACTGATTGCTTTTGATTACCAAAAAAAAAACTGATTGCTTTTAAGTTAGGAAATTATCTTAAGTGTGGAAATTACTTGTCTGCTCTGAATATTAACAATTGTAATGTTTTTGAATGTTGAAGGGGGTTAGAGAGCGATAAAGAATGATTAAGGCTTTGAATAAAACTTTTAAGTGATAAAAGTAAAACGCAAGAAATAAAAAAAATAAAAAATATTAAATAAAAAGCATAAGCATGTAATATTTTAAAAATTCAGAAAAAAATAACATGAATTTTTTAATAAATTACAATTATTAATATTTTAATTTTTTTATACTGACCTTAAGTAAACATATGTTAAAAAACCCTTTTAATAAATGGAGATATATTAATAAACTAAACAATTGTTATTCTAATTACTAAGTTACATGGAAAATATATTTTTCATGTTACATGGGATAATTTATCTCTTATATCATACAAAAAGTGTGAAACCCAATTTTTTCTTTCTCTCTCTTTTTCTTATTAGGTGCCACTTATTTTTTTGTGTTTTACGTGAGATAACAGGAGAAACATATTCCTCAGGTAAAGCAATATCAACCCGATTATAGTGAAAATAAAAAATCTCTCCAAGGGTGTTCTTTTAAGGATCAAACTTTTAAACTTGGGTTCAAACAATCATTTTTAACCACAACAATAGACAATTCATTGGTTGATATCATTTAAGGGTTTTATTAATGTTATGTTACATAACTTAAGTTTTGTTTTCAACCCACAACAAAATGGAGAGAGAAAGTGGAATGATGAAAGATAAAAAAAACACGTGGACTTCACCTCTTTAATGTGTGTGTAGGAAAATGAAGTTGTGTTATGTTACATGATAAACATAAAATCATCGTTTAATTACCCAATATATTAATCCGAGTAGTTTAATTATAGTTTTGTTGTTAAAAGTTAATGAAATTATACCTTTCTTATTTGTGGGGGGGGGGGGGGGGTAGATTAAGATGGGATCTCCCAGGTTTTAAATGAACATTAGCCCTTAAGAAGTACACTAATCCGACAATCATTATGATCATAATCTACACAGAAATCAGCATGTCTCATCATTCACACATAGGGATTATGGATAGGGAAGTCTATGTTTAAGAACCAGGCACAAACTTGGTGGCATAGACCCAAGCATTGTTAGCCACAGGGTTGTCAAGGTGATCCAAAAGGTTCTCCAAAGGGCCTTTACCAGTGACAATGGCTTGAACAAAGAAACCAAACATAGAGAACATAGCCAACCTACCATTCTTGATTTCCTTAACCTTAAGCTCAGCAAAAGTGACAGGGTCATCAGCAAGACCAAGAGGGTCAAAGTATTGACCACCAGGGTAGAGGTTGTTACCCTCTCCAACTCCAGGAAGGCCATTGATGCGGAAACCTTCAACAAGACCCATTAGAACTACTTGGAATCCTAAAACTGCTAAGATGCTTTGTGCATGAACAAGGTTTGGGTTCCCCAAATAGTCAAGGCCACCTTCTGAGAATATTTGAGCTCCTGCTTTGAACCAAACTGGTTCTTTGAAGTCCACTTTCACCCACTTTTCAAGCACTTCTGGGGTGATGCATCCTAGTGCTCCAAGCATAGCCCAACGCCCATGGATCACCTTATTCAACATAAAATTTTAGTATTATTTAAGTCACTAAAACAAGGCTTAATAGAGTGAGAAATAGATTACATATTGTTTTCTTAAAACACAATGAAGGAAAGCTATTACCATTATTACGTCCTGGATGAGGGAGGATATTCATACTATCAAATTTTTTTACTACCACTCTAATCACCATTGGATTAGAGGAAAAATTGAATGAAGAGAGAAAAGAAAAAAAACTTTTGAATCCAATGGTGATTAGAGTAGTAGTAGAAAAATTTGATAATATGAATATCCTACCTCGTCCTAGATTACTCTTTTTAGTCCTTTTTATCACTTACCTGGAATAAAAGTGATGTTTATGATGTATTGGTCTCATTATTAACATATTAAATAAAACCTATCTGCTCTAATGATTTCATTTTAAAACAAATGATACAAGCCCTACAATAAGATGATTCTTATTGTAAAAAGATCAACTGAAGTTTAGGCCTTCAGGTTTTTTTTTCTAGCACTTGGTTTTTCCTTAAAAGACTATTTTACTATTTTTAAGTAAGATTAGTTAGAACCTTGTGTAATGTACTAATATGTAAACAAAGGCAAAGTTATTTTTCTTTTTTTATTTTATATATTAAAGAAGCTTAATGAATTATGGTTTGTGAGAACCAGAAAAGTTTTGAAGTTTGGCTATTGATAATTGAAACCTTCATAAAAGAAAAAAAAAAGGGGGGAATGAGTGAGAAAACTAACCTCAAGAGCCCTATTCCTGGCAAATGCTTCTGGGTCAGCAGACAAACCAGCAGTGTCCCATCCATAATCCCCTGGAAATTCTCCAGTTAAGTATGAAGGGGTCTGAGCTGAAAAGGGTCCTAAGTATTTCACTCTGTCTGGTCCATACCACAATTCATTGCCCTGCATGTTCACAAACACAAACCCAATATATATATTTATTCACACAACCAACACTAAAAAGCTGTTGTGAGAGTGAGACAAAAAGTGAAAAAAAGTGATTTTTTTTTTTTTTGGAGAGTACCATGGTGTATTTTCCGGTTCCCATGGAGACAAAATCTCTTAGAGGGTTGGTGTTGGTACCCTTGATTTGGCCAAGGAAAGTAGTTGGTTTGATAACAATGCCAGAGCTTGCTGTGGCTGCCATCAATGTTGCTGCCATGACTTCTAAGTTCCAAGCTTTTAGGTGCTTATTCAGTTCAAACCTTAATTTACTTAAAAAGATGATAATAATAAGAACAGTTTACAGAAATGGGTAGAAAGGAAAGCTGAGTGTGACATCATATGTAGGGAAAGAGAATCATAGGAATGTGTGGTTAGGAACACAAGAGTAGAAGTTCGTGGTGGGGATGGTGTGGTTCGGACTTTGGAGCAACCAATGAGAAGGCTTTAATGTATCTCTATCTCATATCTTTCTATCCACATGTTATCTTTTGTTTTTGTCATTAAATAAAATGAAAAAAAAATTAATGCCATAATGCGGTGAGCGTGGATCGAACACGCGACCTTCAGATCTTCAGTCTGACGCTCTCCCAACTGAGCTATCCCCGCAACTTGTCATTGAGGCATTTAAGAAACTTAATTTCCTGAATATTTTTATCACATCCAATTTATTATTTAACGTTTGCTGAATTTCAGATTTTTTTAAACCCCACGAAATTGTTTATGTTAAAACTTGAAATTGTTTTCAACAAGCAAGCAATTGAAAATGTTGTACATGAAAAAGTAAATGCCTAATTTTATTTTATTTTGTACATAATGCCCAAAATTTTAAACCCCAACAAAATGTTAATTACTCTGCAATACAAGAAGTATTATCACATCCGAAAGTACTTCGTGATATGGAGTCAAAACCATGCGCGAAATTACACTATCCTTATCTTTAGCCATTTTAACAGACTCTTAAATGGAGCAACTCTGACCTATATGCAGCACAGATTAAATTCAATATTTGGTTTTGTTCGGAGGTGAACATCAATGTCCAGTGTTGGTAATTGTATCTACGGAGTTTATGGTAAAGATGACAGGAAGTCCTGCACCTCAGGCCAAAGTCCCATGGTATGAATAAGGGGTGTGTGTGTAAATCACTTGCTTAATAGATAGGATGTGCTCTGGGCGCGTGTGAAGGTTGTAGCTTTGGTGGCAAACCTTGTGAATACTGAAGAACTTATCTCATCCTTTGCTATGGGGAACCATATATAGATGAAGTGCACTAGCAGTTAGGGAAAGTTGTGCACATAGTTAGTGGTTTTGCAAGTGACTTAGTGATGTCATGCAATGCTTAGGGGTTGGTTATGTATAGTGGAAGGAAGTTAAGAGAGAATGATGGAGTGAAATGTTTAGTACATGTCAAGTAGTGGGGTTAGGAATTGGGGACCATTTAACTGGTCTATAACATAAGCCCCTCAGCCTAACAGTGCACAAAGTCAGAATGCCGGGGTGAAAGTAAAGCCATGTGCCTATCAAATAGTATTTAGTGTTGTGTAAAAGGATATGAGTGCCTGAAAAAATCCAACTAGTTGAAATTTGTCTGAGCTCAAGGACGTAGCCCCCGTTAATTGTGAGTGCTTCTGGGTTCCAAGTTGCTTTGTCGGGTTGCTTGCTTCTCATAGTCATCTTCGAGTTTGTAATTCCTTCGGAGTTTGAAGTTAGAGGTGAAAACTCAGGATGCCAACTTAGACCTGTAACAAATAAAAAAATTAATTGTTTATTGTGTACCTGAGTAGGGTGTGAGAACCGTATATGAAGATTCTTTATGCGTTGGTCAGGATCATTAGAAATCATAAGGACTTATGGCCCGGGCCCTAGAGAGAAGCAAGTGCCCATGGCCTTAGAAAGGCAAGGGACTTAATGCTCACAGTTCATTATTGAACTCAAGTGATGTATCAAACAATATTTTTTCTTTTACTTGCTTCTTTTGTTTGCTGGTCGAAGATATCTCGATGAATGCATTTTATATTTCCTCTTTTGTCTCTGTTGTCAAATATAAGCGAAAGTTGGAAAACAGGATATACTGACCATGCTTTCGGCTTGGCAAGTCGGCTGTCCTAGATACCTTTAATTAAGAAACAAGAGACTTTGTTAATCTTGCCTCCCGCTTCTTTCCTGGGTAAGTCAGATGCCCAAGGTGCCTGTGGCAACAAGGGACTTTGTTAATCCTGTTTCCCGCTTCTTTCTTGTAAAAACGGGTGTCCAAGGTGCATTTAGTCAACAAGAGACTTTGATAATCCTTCTTCCCGCTTCCTTCTTGGATAAGTCAGGTGCCAAGGTGCCTGAGGCAACAAGGGACTTCGATTTTTTTGCTTCCGACTTGGAAAAGGACGGGTACCCAAGGTTTTTTTTTCTTAAGTAATAAGAGACTTTTAATTTTCCCGCTTCCAACTTGAAAAGGGACGGGTGCCCAAGCTCTTTTGTTTTAAGCAACAAAGAATTTTTAGTTTTCCTGCTTCTGGCTTAGAAAAAGGTGGGTGCTAAAGGCGTCGTAGCAGTGTTGTTAAACTCGACCCGGTCAAGGTACTGGGTCACTGGTCAAACCGGTTGACCCGAATATATATATAAATATGAACATATAAATTTAAAATATTCTCCATATCTAAAATAGGATAAACAAGGTTCACTAAATAAGCTAAAAAATTACCCAGTTACACTATTACAAGTTCATAACTATAGTCATTTCACCCATCTTTGATTATCAGTTACTCAGTTAGTAATCTCCACATGCAGTTCCAATTCTGCATAAACAAGGGAGAAGTAGGTAGATGATAAGCAAAGGAAATATCTTGATTGTACTTATTGACAAATATCATGTGTAAGATGAGTAAAAATTGCACTCGAAAGATAACTCACATTTTCCTCAAATGGTGCATTTAACTGAATTTTGCTCAAGAAAAAATTAAAAGATTATCACCCTATCATGTTCAAATTGAACAATCATCTATCAATCCCATCACATTTTGAACAAAATTCAACAAAGAAGAACTAGGGGTGTGCATGGAGCAGTTCAGTTCGATTTTTGTCAAAAACCGAACCGAACCGAACCAGTTTTAAACGGTTTGATTTTTAAACCGAACCACTTTTTTTAAAAAACCAATTTTTAATTTGTCCAAACCAGTTTGAAATCAATTCTAAAACCGGTTTGTGGTTCATAACCGGTTTTGATTTAAAACCGGTTTTAAATCAAAACCGGTTATAAACCATAAACCAGTTATTAAGTTTAAAATCGATTTTATAACAAAAAAAAATATTTTGTAAAAATTCAAAACCAATTTTTGATGAGTTGTGCACAAAACCAGTTTGATGAAAAATTATTCCATGGTATGGGTACATATTACCTCAGAATGTAGCTGCAATTGGTTGGCTATTATTTTCATCCAGATAGCCCCAATTAAAGATTCTAAAGCAATATGAAGTCAAGTAATATCCATAGACAAGGTAATACAACTAGTGACTCCATCAAATTAGAGTCTTTCTCTTGCATTCCATACACAACATGTCTGCACTCATGAAAAAGTGATCTTATACATACAGGGAGAGCACAACAGAACACATGTGTTTTCAAAGGAAACAAAATGGTTGAAGCACTTACATATAATTCAGTGTACAAAACGATCTGCAACAAATATCATTAGTGAACATTGATTAGTAATAACCACTAATTTGTGCATAAGTGAAAAGCATATATCTCAACATTCTTTCTCACTACTATGAAGTGAATTTAGATTAAACAACAAAGAGATAAAATAATCTTATCACAAATAAAAATGTACAAGGAGTTCAGTGAATTAACATGTTTCTAATTCTAAGGATATAAAAGCTAACTGAAAACTACTCGTACTCTAGCTATATGACATTATTGAAAAATAGAAATAACCATTGTAAATAAGAAGCATTAGTGCAGCAGACTGTTGCAACAAAAATAAAAGAACAATTTGGGATTATATGTCATGTCTAGAGCTTTTCAGGTTTCTGTACTAGAAAAGTTATATACATTCACAGCATTAAACTAATTCTGATGTCAACCATGTTAAATTCAATAAAAAAGAAAACTAAGTAAATTCAAATCTACTACTTAAAAAAATTAAGTAGTACATTTGGGAAATATTAGCAATTATGCTTATTAGACAAAAAAGAGACTCAAGTATCAACCCTATAAAAATAAAATAAAACAAACCTCCAGGGTCTCTTATAGGAATCATATATGGATTGAAGGGAGTTTAAGAAGTATGCATTGTGGTTTCACATTTTTCATATTTTTCACTTTCTGTTTGCAAACAGAGTATTAGTATCTCCATTCTCACTTATATATGAAATTTTTCAAGCTCATAAAATGACAGATTGATGCTCTGGGACTAATGTATTTTATAAATACAGTTTAATATAAGAATCCATCTTTAAACATCATGCCCCCAATGGCATCAAATCGTTCCTCGAAGGTATCATATCACATCTATGTTGAAAACGGATAAGGTTCACACTACACATTTGACCACTTCATTTTCACCGTCCTTTCTTAAAATAGCTTAAAGGAGTACATGATAGAATCCGCGTAAGGACTCTATACTACACCATCTACAACTATATGTCATGTAACTAGTCCCTATAGTCATAATCAATAAAATTGAAATTTTACATGAAATCAGGAGGAAGATAAAAAGTTATAAAACATAAAATCGTAAAAAAAAAAAAACAAAAAAAACACAAACCAACTTCATACACCCAACTACCCTTTTCACAAATATATCCAACCATTAAAATAAATCTCTTGATAATAGTTAAGAAAAAATTCACAATCCAATTAAGTAATTGATTAAATTTTAATCTAATTAAATTCAACAAAAACAATTGCAAAATAACAGCAAAAGAAAAGCACCGAAAAAAAATATTTAACACAAAACAAGAGAAGGACTAATGCCTTAACTAGGAATATAAATACAAAAATAATAAAGACATAACACATAATACAAAATTTGGCATAAGGAAATAAAATGTAGTAAAGCTATAACGAGCTAAATTACTTTGAGATGATGAATGGTGTATAACTAGGATAATAAATGCACTAAAACATGTTTACACTATATGAATATGAACAAGAAACAAAAACATTGTTTAGACCTGCATTGGATATTGAAAATTATTGACATTTATATTTCTATAACACAACGAGCTAACCACTTGACAAAATCAAAGAGATCACCCTATAACATTAGTAGAGAACAAACTATAATAAATTTACACAACAATGAAAGAAAAAAAAGGCATTATGGATTGAGTCTCATATAGCCTAAATTTCTGTATAAAGTCATCTAGGAATTATATATAAAAAAAAAATAATGTTACCTGGGACTGTAGGGAAAATCCAATATGTTTCTGAAGATTAAAATGGAGACAACTATTCAAAGTAAACTCAAAGGTATAAACTCAAATTTTCAGGCATTACCAAGTTTTATATATATATATATATATATATATATATATATATATATATATATATATATCGAAAATTTGCCATCCCAGAAGGAAAGTTTGCAAAATTTTATGTGCTAATGAATGGAATTTATAGTAGTACACTCGCCGCATGCAGAGAAACACAAATGGAATATTTTCAAAAATGAATCAAAAGCAAAGAAAGAGAAAATGCCCACAATAAAGTCACTGAATCAGCAAAGAAGGATCCTTCAAAGCAAAACCCCAATTTGGTTGGGATTGGGATGAATTTTCCCTTCAAAATCAAACCCATGTATTAAAGCTACACACTTTGAATTAGAAGAAATGTTGATTTTAGGAATACCCATTGATATTGGAGATTAAAAAATGGCAGAAGAAACATATTAAGTGATTCACAAAATAAAAAAACAAAGATAAGGAAGAGCTGGAGAAGATGGAAAACCAAAGCGTGAAGATGGCAAGTTACCTGCTAGATTTCCACAATCCAAATGGAAGCAGAGAAAACCTGCAAAAAGACGAGGTGTGAGATGGTTGAAATTACAGCGAGAGAGTGTAATGTGACGATGGCGCGTGTAGAAGACAAGAGGGTTGAGCCAGTAGAAAAGGGAGAAATTGGAATATTGAAGTTAGGGTTCAAAATTAGCTACCGACTGGTTCACGAGATGCTCCCTCTCTCACGACGTCGCTTGGAGTAAATAAAAATGGTGTAAAACCAAAACAAATGGATATCCAATTATTTTTTTTGGATCGGTAATGAAACGGATCTGGAAAATAAAGAGTGGTTTGACATAAAATCGCTTTTTAGAAAAACCAGTTTTTTAAATATGGTTCGATTTGGTTATGGACTGGTTTGGATCTTTTGGACATTTTGAACACCCCTACAAAGAACTAGTAAGAAACAATGATGGTTTGATGGCCCATTTTTATTCAAAAAGTTGAAGTCAAAAAACCATAACGGAGACATGGTTCAATGAAAAGAGGAAAAAGAACACACCAAAAAAAATTAAAGTTAAGAAATGGAGAACATCATATGAACATGAGAGCTTTTCCAGTTTAAAAAGAAATCAAAACTATTGTAATTTATAACCATTGTTCATAATTAAGGAGCAGCCAAGGACTCAATAGAAACCCATTTTCAGCAAATGATAAATGATCATACACATTGAGAATTAAAAATAAATCCTAAAAATGTACAAAAAAAAACGTATCCTAAAAACACCACTTGAGTTATCATTTGTATCTTCACATGACAAGTTTAAAAATAGATATCAGGAAAGCAAGAAAGGATACCTCCTTTTCCACAATGGGAAAAACTCTACTAGGAAGTGATGAAGCAGATTGAACTTTCAACACGGATCGGCCAAAAAATTGAAACATAAATGCAGAATGAGATTCATACTTCTCTTTTAACTTCAACCCGTAGATTCACACAAACACACTCAAATTGCAAACACATAGAACAAAGTGGGAGAGGGAATCTCAGCCTCTGCCTTGTTCATTATATGTTTACTATAAGAACAAGCAAAGCACAACAGAGAAAGCGAGAGAGAAAGGGGGGTTGCGAAAGCGAAAGAAAATAATAAATTTTTTTTGGCAGTATTCCCTCCATGGAAGAAGAAGAGGAGCTTAGAATAAGAAGTTACCTGGCTCACTGAGCAAACGCTACGTTTGTTGTTGAAATAGAGAGGGGATCTCAACAATAGTCGTGTTTTGTAAAAGGGAGACAACAAGCAAATGATGATTCGGCCAAACAAATCGATTAGAGAAACTGAGAAGAGGATCTCAACAACAAAATGGAAATGATCGGCTCTGTGGAAAGGGAAAGAGGGAGACTCAAAGGAAGAGACATACGATGACAACGAAGACCACCACCTACGGCGACGATGATATGTGGAATCCACCACCACCATCGTGTTTTTTTGTGTTTTTTGTTGTTGAAAGGGAAATAGGAATTTCGCTAGCTTTTGTGCTTTCTTAGGGATATGATATTTTTTTTTTTAATTTGAGCCGAACCGATTCACAAGACCCGACAGGTCAACGGGATCCAGAAAAAATCGGGCGGTCCAAAATGTGACCTAAATCGGTTACCCCATCGGGTCACCGGGACCCAGGTCGGGTCGGTTTAACAACACTGCATCTTAGGCAACAAGGAACTTGATGCTTCTAATCGGATTGTGATTGCTTCACAATTGAATTATGACGTTGGTGGATGTATTGTATCCTGAAATATATGAAATATGCAAACTTGCAAGAAATGTGTCATACGTAGATTGTTATATGCTTGTAAAAATGTTTTAATAAAAATAATAGAGGTTTTGGAAATAACCACATATATAGTGTCGAAAAACTAGTCTTGTTGGAAGTCGAGGTGCTTGTTGGTAACCAAGATAGTTTACCAGTGAATAAGATGGCTCCAAGGGGCTAAGAATTGAGATGCTTTTTGGCTGAGATGCTAAGGCATTAATGTGGCTTTGGAAATGAAAGCCTGAAACAAAGAAAAACAATGTTGTCTCGTAGCTATTATTGTTCCAGTCACCGAAGTTATGGCTAATAAGGATGCATCAACTTTACGATGAAATAATTGTTATTGTATGTTCACATGCTGCCACGAGGGTTTGTTTCTCGGGTTCGGTATTACCCACACATTAGTGGGAAAAGAAGGAAAGCTCTTCAACACCCTAGCATCTTCATATATGCTCCTCAACATGGTGGTGATGCTCCTTTCTGAACAAGTCAAACCTGCAGGAACAAAATGCAAACCTGCTATGCAAAGATAGGAATTAGCAATTTATTTGTAGCAACATAGAGTTGCATCAGAGCAATTTATTGGGGTCTTATAGCATATAACGCACATTGGAATAAAAACTACTTGTTTTATCCAAAGCCCAACATTTGCTATCTACATGGCTCCTAATATTGTGAGACAACACCAAGCCAACTAATAGTTATTGCCTTTAGAGATATAAACTGTGATTTTCATCCTGTAGTGCTTTAGGTCAACAAATAACATATATTGTTAGAAGAGATGCATTGTGGAGAATGGAAGATAATACTCGCACAAATTAGAAGACCTACCACCATGATTCATGTATTCTGTTTCTTACTATAATATATGATGGTATATGTGGACAAAGTGGAGGAATGTTAGTAAAAATATGTTAGTGGTGGTATAATCCTATGTGGTCCACTTACATTGTCCGCTAATGATAATATATTGCATAATGGAGTACCTAATTTTGGTTTTGGTTTCCATCAACTTCGCTATCTTTAGTGCACACTTGAAAGAACTCTACGATGGTTGAGTCTATAAAAGGGTGTACTTCAGTTTTCTTAAGTCCCTGAACTCACTCTACTACAGAGCTACACACCATCTGAGCTGTAGACAAGAGTTTGGAAGACTTAAAGAATTTTCGCATAAGTTACAGTCACCATTTAGAGCAACAAGGAAAGCAATGGCAGGAGGTATTTATGGTGTATCTTATTCCGCATTAGATCTAATTTATAAGCATGATTAGATCATCAGTATATATTTAGAACTTACATTTGGTATCAGAGCTTGTATGTGACCTCTGCCTTGCCTTTGTATGGTTGCCTTTGCAATATTTTGATTTTCTAAAATCATGGTTTGAGTGCCTTATAATAAAACTAGAATTGGAAATCAAATGGGATAAAAAAATTCTGGTAGTTTTAGGTAAAAAAATTATGAATTTTTGGTGCAAAAATGACTGGAAAATCGTTGGGTTTTTTATCCGGATTAGAACTGGCTAGAGATTGAAGATGACACTGGTTGAAGACGACGGATTTTTCAACTCTATTTTAGTGAAAATCTCTTTTGATGAATTGTTTCATAAAGCATCTTTGTGAATATTTATTCAATGTTAGCTGACATTGTCGGTGACTTTTGAAAGTTTGCTTTTGAATATTTGTAAGCATGTTTTTCATACTGCTTTTAGTAATTCACTTTTGGACTTTGAGTTTATAAATATTCACGTGATGTGATTAAGAATATAAGTGATTTCTGAACTTTAGTATGTGTATCTGAATTGCTTACTTTCAATTCACTATTCTTGTCTTGGTTGGTTCTTCAATTTTCATGAAAGGTGTTTGAAGTATGGTTTGCATGTTTCCACCACCATTCACTGTAAGCATGATAATGGAATTGGCTTTTCATGATTTACTGTTGGCCTTTAGTATCACTTTTGAATTTTATATTCAGTGTTAACGTGAATTACTATGTTAGCTATTTGTTCCATGACTTTATTCACTTTCATGAATACTTACTTTTGAACTCTTGTGATTAGTAACTGATTGTTATTGAATTGAATATTGGCTTAACTGTTGTTGTTATCTATTCAATATTCACGAGATTTTAATATTGTAGTTAGTTTCAGTTATTAGTTACGATTTGTATTTTGTCTTTTGATAATTAATGTTATGTTATGCTGACTTGGCAATTAAAGAAATAAAAAAGAAAAAGAAAAAAGAAATCAACAAATTGCTTGAGATAAGAATTGAACCCATAACCACCTGCATTAATGGGTAGTCTTTTTCCAATTGAACTAATGACAACTTCATGATAAATATTCATGCTAGCCAGTGGAACTGTGTCTTAGAGAAGTGTCAAGTAGACCTTAACTGCTACTTTCACTATGAAGGCTGAGTTCGTTTCTTGTTTTAAGGCTACCTCACATGATGTATGGATGAGGAGTTTCATTTCGGGTCTTAGAGTTATGGATTCTATTTTTAGGCCATTAAAGATATATTGTGATAATTCAGTGCTAATACGTTCAATAACCACTGCTTTATCTTTAACATGTTCTCTTATGGCTAGATATTTAATGTCAATATGCTTGCTTCGACTACCACTTTTGTTATTTTTAACCATAAAAACAGCAGTTAAATTATCAAAATATATCTTTAATGGCCTAAAAATAGAATCCATAACTCTAAGACCCGAAATGAAACTCCTCATCCATACACCATGTGAGGTAGCCTCAAAATAAGAAACGAACTCAGCCTCCATAGTGGAAGTAGCAGTCAAGGTGTGCTTGACACTTCTCCAAGACACATCTCCACTAGCTAGCTTGAAAATATATCCTGAAGTGGATTTTCTTGAATCAATGCAACCAGCGTAGTCTGAATTTGAGTAGCCAATTACTTCCAAGTTGTCAGTCCGTCTAAACATAAGCATGTAATCCTTAGTCCCTTGAAGGTATCTTATTACTTTCTTTGCAACTTTCCAGTGGTCTAAGCCTGAATTACTTTGATATCTTCCTAATACTCCAACCGCAAAAGCAATGTCAGGTCTTGTGCAGACCTGAGCATACGTTAGGCTTCCAACAGCTGAAGCATAAGGAATGTTCTTCATTTGTTCGCGTTAAAGATAATTTTTCGGGCACTAGTTTAAATCAAAACATGTCACCCTTCACAATGGGAGCTACACTTGGTGAACAATCACTCATTCTATATCTTTCTAAAACTTTGTGATATAGGTCTCTTGAGATAAACCAAGAACACCCCTTATTCTGTTTCTATCTATCTTGATGCCAATAACATAAGAGGCATCACCTAATCCTTCATATCAAGGTTTTTAGAGAGAAATTGTTTCATCTCATATGGTAAACCCTTATCATTGGTTGCAAGTAAAATATCATCCACATATAGAATAAGGAAACACACTTTGCTCCCACTGACCTTCTGATATATACATGATCCACGATGTTCTCTATAAAACCAAATGAAGAAATAACATCATGAAATTTCAAATACCATTGACGAGAAGCTTGTTTCAATCCATATATAGATTTCTTAAGTTTGCATACTAATTGCTCACCATTACTAGAGAAAAATTCTTCTAGTTGTTTCAAATAAACCTCTCCCTCAAGGTCTCCATTGAGAAAAGCTATTTTCACATCCATTTGTTGTAACTTCAAGTCAAAATGTGCAACTAATGCTAGAACGATACGAAGAGAATATTTCTTAGATACATGAGAAAATGCCTCCTTGTAGTCATTTCCTTCTTTTTGATTAAATTTTTTGGCTACTAGTCTTACTTTATATCTCTCAATGTTGCCTAATGAGTCTTTCATAGTTTTAAAGACCCATTTACATCTGATGGCTTTTGCACCATCAGGAAATTGAAAAAGATTCCAGACTTCATTAGTTGCCATAGAACTCAATTCATCTTTCATAGCGTTATACCAAAAATTTGATTCTTTACAATTCATGGCTTGTGAAAACGTTTCAAGATCATTTTTTGCTCTAATATTATAGTCAGCTTATTGTAGATACACAACAAAGTCACTTGGTATCGCTGATTTTCTTATTCTGGTAGATCTTCTCAATGTTGTTTCATTATCTTCTTGAGGAACTTGTTGTTCAATCGGTCGATCAACAATTTCTACTTGTTTCTCATGAACAACTTAATCTACTAGATTATTAGCAGGCTGTGTATCTTGAATGACTGGTTGTACAATACCCGATTAAGTTGGAGGGGTATTAAGAACAACCAATCTCAAACTTGAAGTGGATGGTTGAGCAACTGAATGATTTTCTCAGAAACAAAGTCTCTGAATTGATCTCTCCCACTAATCAAGTCATTTTCAAGAAATTTAGCATTTCTTGATTCCACAATCCTTGTACTATGAGATGGACAGTAAAATTTGCATCCCTTAGACCTTTCGGCATATCCAATGAAATACCCACTAATTGTCCTTGGGTCAAGCTTATTTTCTTACGGGTTATAGATTTTGACTTCAGCCGGGCATCCCCAAATGTGTACATGTTTCAAACTCGGTTTCCAACCTTTAAATAATTCAAATGGTAGCTTTGGGACAACCTTAGTTGAAACTCGATTTAATATGTACACTATCATCTTAAGTGCTTCAATCCACAAGACTTAGGAAGCTTTGAGAAACTAAGCATACTTTGCACCATATCCATTAATGTTCGATTTCTTCTTTATGCTGCATCATTCTGATCTGGAGAACCAGGCATAGTGTATTGGGCAACTATCTCACGCTCTTCAAGAAACTATGCAAACGGACTAGGTGCTTGTCCATCTTCAGTGTATCTACCATAATATTTTCCACCTCTATTTGATCTCACGATTTTAATTTGCTTACCGCATTGTTTGTCTACTTTCTATCAAAATACCTTAAAGGCATCTAATGCTTCATACTTACTATTAAGCATGTAGAGATACATGTATCGTGAATAATCATCTATGAAAGAGATAAAGTATTTTTGACCATATACGTCCATGTCTGGACAACAAATATATGTATGTATTATTTCTAACAATTCAATACTCTTGGCACCTTTTTTGGATTGCTTTCCCATAATGCAATCTACACAAGTTTCAAAATCAGCAAAATCTAAAGTAATAAGTACTCCATCATTTAGTAATCTTTTAATTCTCTGAATGGAGATATGTCCCAATCTCCGATGCCACAACATAGAGGAATCCTGATATGCGCCTGGCGTATAAGGAAATCTGAGCCAAAAAGAGAAAGAATGTTGATGAAATCTTAAGAAAAAGAGCAAGAATCACTGTTAATTTGTCAAAATCTTAATCAAGGATTGAATACTGATTTTATGCTAATTTTGTAGGAAAAAGCAAACAAACTGGAGCAAAACGAGGATTTTGCAAAATCAAAATCCACGCTGGCAGCGTGGAAGGAATTTTTCAGACAGAAGCATTCACGCTTGAAGTGTGAATTTGACGCTGAGAGCGTCAGTTTGCGAATTCTCAGACCCCGTGTTTTGCAACGGGGCAATTTTGGAAAAGAAAAAGATATAAAAATCAAGTTTTTGATTCAGCAATGAGATCTCTATCCAAATTAGAGATAAGATTAGATGATTTGTGGTAAGATTGAATCAAGATTTGAAATTCTAATTCATCAATCAAATCTCCAAGGTTGTTACATGAAAAAAAGGAAACAAAGTTTAAATCAAATACAAACTCTTGGATGGGCTCAATGCCGGTAGTTATAAATAAGGAGATTGGGAGCACAACAAAGCAACCAATTTCAAAACTCGGAGCAAGCAGTAGAGGACTGAAGATCAAGAATTCTTCTCCATTCTTTCTAGTAATTATAGTTTTTATGCTTTCTTTTGAATATTTGTTTATGTCGGATATGACTATGTCTGGCTAAGTTCTTTTATTGTAGTTAGGGTCACAACCCTATATGAACCCTTGTTATGACGGATTGATTTAAATTATTTTACTCGTTTATATAAATTTCTTTATCTTATCTTGTGCGTATTTGATATTTTCTTTATTAAACTTGATCAATTTGATAGTTGAAAATAGTTTGAGGGTTAGAACCTTAAATAGGGATATTGAGGTTTCTGATCTCGAAAGGAGATAAGATAACTATTGGTATGCATACTAGGGATAGATGTCTATTTAATTGCAGATGTTGGAATTATTGTGTTCATTGCTTAATTCTCATGAGGGGTTACTAAGGGATTAGGATTCTAAGTGAGGTTAAAGGGTTAAGTTACCAAGGGATTGAGATTTAATTATTAATATATTGAGATCATAATTATCTGAGAAATTATATAAATAAGTATTTTGTATCAATCCAAAGTAATAAGTGGGGATCATAGGGAGAGTGTTCCCTAACTGCAATTCTTTCTCATATTTTCAAAACCAACTCCATTATTATTCTTCTTTTCATTCTTGAAAATACAAAAACTCAAAAATAAGTCTTTACTTTTATGGTTACTAAGATTCAATTTAATTTTCCCAACAAAAGATCAAGTTTTTCAACTTAAAGTGACTGATTATTTTAGTACTTGGTTTTCAATCCCTGAGGAGACGATCTTTCTTACTACTTTACTACTTATGCGAAACGGTATACTTGCCGGATAGCATCAAGTTTTTGGCGCCGTTGCCGGGGATTGAAAATTTCAATATTATAAATAATCTTTGATCTTTGAGATTGAATTTTATTTTATTTTATTATTCTTGTTTGCATTTTAAAGGTGCTATTAACAAATTTTTCTGAGTTTTATGCGAGGTAGACTTCCATCTAAAGACTTTTTGCTTGATCCTGAAATTTCAAGGACTGAAAGGAGACTGAGGAAGGCGGCTAGGCAGATAATTTGGGAAGATTTGAAAAGCGTACCTGCACAACCAAAACAAGAGATGGAAGGAGACAACAACGATGATGGTGGCATAGGCCACAATCCACCCCCAAGATTGTTGGAAAGTATTCTGACACCAGTGTTCAATAGGCCAAACTCAAGCATAGTCAGGCCGACGGTGGAAGCAAACAATTTTGAGTTGAAACCATCATTGATTTCTTTGGTGGCAAGAGCTCAATATTCTGGTGCTGACGAGGAAGACCCTCATGAGTTCATAGATCGATTTCTGATGATCTGTGACACTACGAAGCACAATGGTGTGCCAGCTGATGCTATCAGGCTCCGACTATTTCCTTTTGCTGTTAAGGGAAGTGCTCTCAAATGGATAGAAAGGCAACCAGCAAATAGTATCTCAACATGGGAAGATTTGTCAAACAAATTCTTTGCCCATTTCTTTTCTGTGGAGAAATATAATCAGCTGGTGAATGCAATCACGAATTTCCGTCAATTTGAAGGAGAATCATTGTGTGCAACTTGGAATAGATTCCAAGAACTTATCCGGAAGTGTCCACAATGGGAGGGAGACAATGACAGAAAGGTAGCAATTTTCTTTAATGGCATTTCTCCTGAAACAAGGTTGGTGATTAATGGTGCAGCTGGAGGTTCTATTCGGCAGAGTACCTCAGAGCAAGCCCTCAATCTGATAAAGAAGTTGGCAAGAGATGAAAATGAGAGTGTTCCAGCCTCAGTAAAAAGAGGAGTGATAAAACAAGAAAACAATGACACTTTGCTCGCTGAACTGTTATCCAAAAAGATTGATAGTAAGTTTGACAGTTTGGGGCAGCGATTTCAAAAATTCCAAGTGTCTCATGTTCAATCAACTCCTCAGGAAGCTCACAAATCCAACGAATGCTCTAATTCGTTATCAGATGATTCACCTCAACAAGTACAGGTGAATGGAATATGGTATGACCAGCGGCCTCAGCCGTCAAACTTTCCAAGGAACAATAATTATGGTGCTGGAGGTGGTGGTGGAAATTTTCAGCGAAGAACTCAAGGAGCTGGCATGGATTACAAATCTAATAACTACCAGCAGCCTCCACAAATTCAAGCAAAGGAACCCTCTGAATTGGAAAAGCTAGTGGCACAGATGGCTCAACATTCAAATGCTTTCATGGAGGAGCAAAGAGCCAACAACAAAAATACAAGTGCTTCCATAAAGAACCTGGAGAATCAGATAGGCCAACTTGCAAAGCAGGTTTCAGAAAGAATTCCGGGTACTTTTCCTAGTAATACAGTTATCAATCCAAAGGAAGATTGCATGGCTATTATCACTAGAAGTGGCAAAGTTGTAGCACCGCTTGCAAATCCAATTCTTGATCGTGTGGAAGACAAGGAACAAGCGGAGAAGCAAAAAGGAGCAGTTGAACCAGAGGCTGAAGTAATTGTGAAAGAAAAGGATAAAGAAGCCTTCATTGAAAAGGAAAAACCATCCTTCTTTGATAAGAACTGCCCATTGACCCATGAATATATAATGGCTCAAGCACCTTACCCAGAAAGGTTTAAGAAAGAGGTTACTAACAAGCATTATGACAGGTTCTTAGACATCTTCAAGAAGTTGCACATCAATATTCCTTTTGCATAAGCCTTAGCAAATATGCCTGGATATGCAAAATTCATGAAGGATCTGTTGAAGAAGAATAAACTGCTAGAATGCCAAACCGTTGAACTTACTGCAAAAAGTAGTGCATTCATTCAGCAGAAGATTCCTGCTAAGCTTCGTGATCCAGGTAGTTTTAATATTCCCATTACTATTGATGATATTGCCATTGGCAAAGCTATTTGTGATCTTGGGGCTAGTATCAACTTGATGCCTCTTTCTATTTATAAGTCACTGGGAATTGAAGAATTGAAACCCACAGAAGTTTCTCTTCAACTTGTTGATAGATCTGTGAGGAAACCTAACGGGGTCATTGAAGATGTTCTTGTCAAAGTTGACAAGTTTATCTTTCCTGTTGATTTTGTGGTGTTGGATACAGGGGAAGGAAGTGATAAGCCTCTACTTTTAGGTAGGCCCTTTTTGGCTACAGCCCGTGCTCTAATTGATGTTGAGCAGGGAATGATTAAATTAAGGATGCATGATGAGGAACTCAATTACAATGTTTTTGAGGCAATGAAAAGACCAGCTGAGAATGATGATTGTTTTCAAGTTGAAGTGTTTCAAGAGCAACATAAGAAGATGCGTCCACAAGAGATTGATTATGAGTTGAGAGCCTGTGATCATGTTCCTTTTGAAGGCAAAGAAGTTGTTGTGGAAGAGCTTAAAGAAAAAGCTGATGATATAGAAGATAAGCCACCCAAGGTTGAGTTGAAAACTCTGCCTAATACTTTGAAATATGTATTCTTGGGGAATGAAGAGACTTATCCTGTAATTGTCAATACGGCACTATCTCCTGGTCAAGAAGAGGAGCTTGTTGAAGTTCTAAAAGCTCATAAGACTGCCATAGGGTGGTCTATTTCTGATTTAAAGGGTGTTAGTCCCTCTATTTGCACACACAAAATTCTTATGGCAGAAAACATCAAACCTGTGAGACAACCGCAAAGAAGGCTTAACCCGATCATGAAGGAGGTAGTCAGAAAAGAAGTTGTGAAGCTTCTTGATGCAGGTATGATTTACCCAATTTCTGATGCTGCTTGGGTAAGTCCGGTTCAGACTGTTCCAAAGAAGGATGGTGTGACCGTTGTCAAAAATGCAAACAATGAGTCATTCCCAACTAGAACTATCACAGGTTGGAGAATGTGTGTTGATTACAGAAGGTTGAACACGGCTACCAGGAAAGATCATTTTCCACTACCCTTTGTTGATCAGATGCTGGAAAGACTGGCGGGCCATGCCTATTACTGCTTTTTAGATGGTTATTCAGGCTACAATCAAATTCCAGTAGCCCCTGAAGACCAGGAGAAGACAGCCTTCACTTGCCCATTTGGAGTCTTCGCTTACCGACGAATGCCATTCGGTCTCTGTAATGCACCTGCCACCTTCCAAAGGTGTATGCTCTCTATTTTTTCTGACATGGTAGAGCGAATTTTAGAGGTATTTATGGATGACTTCTCCGTCTTTGGTTCTTGTTTTGATTCTTGTTTAATTAACTTGTCTAAAGTTTTGAAAAGGTGCCAAGAGACTAACCTTGTTCTGAATTGGGAAAAGTGCCATTTTATGGTTAATGAAGGTATTGTTTTGGGGCATAAAATCTCCAGGAATGGAATTGAGGTTGATAAAGCTAAATTGATTTTGATTGAGCAACTCCCCACTCCCATTAATGTTCATGCTGTTAGGAGTTTTCTAGGACATGCAGGTTTCTACAGGAGATTCATCAAGGACTTCTCCAAGGTTGCTAAACCATTGAGCCAACTCTTGGTGAAGGA